TTTTCATTTTTTTTTTTTTTTTTTTTTTTTTGGCTTTACAGGAATATTTGAAATATTAAATATTCCTGCTCAGTATTTTTTAAATAAGTATGATTTGGTGGCATTGGAGAATATCAGTAAATAGCTTATGTGGTGATTGATTCAGATCACTGCGCTGTCATTTCAGGAAGTACAGGGGCCGTGGCTGTTTATCTTGCTTGTTAGTATCGTGTGAGCTGTTCCCAAATAGAGATATTTTATTCACCCCAGGAATACTACAGTACTTAAAAAAAAAATTCTACATTATTTCCTTTGATCTTCATATCCAGGGTAAGCTTTTTTAGAAGTAGAAAGTGAGGCCCAGTTAAATGTTTTGTGCTGAGTCATGTGGTTATTTAGTGGCAGAACTGCCACTAGAACCTGGGTCTTTGACATTGCCTCCTGCTTTTGTGCCCCCGTTGACTGAATCCATTGGAGCTCTGGAATATTTCACCACAGATAGATAAGATTGTCTACCTATACCAGTAATGTGTATAACATGTAGCAAACATGGGTAAGTTTTCCTCAGTAATGAACAGAAGATAAGTGAGGATAGTTGTAATAAGAATAATAGATAACATTTATCAAGTACTTACTATGACCTGATACTCTTCTAAGGGCTTACATTTACATTCTTATTAAGTCCCTCTGTTGACCCCATTCCACAGTTGAGGAAATTGAGGCACAGTGATAAGTAAGATGATGATAATTTGGATTCTAAAGAAAAAACAGGATGCTTTTTTGGTAATCCCTGCCTGCTTTCAAATTACAAAGGAATTTAGAAATAATCAGTATGAGATTTCCAAATAAATATAAGATGTATCTTAAAGAAATCAATGTAAGATATATCTATCAATTACTAAATAAAAATGAGTGGTAATAAAAGTGATCATTCCAGGAGTATATTATTTAAAATCAGTAGTTTTCAAAGTGTGGTACCCTGACCAGCAGCATCACCAGAGAACTTAATGAAAATCTAAGGTGAGATTTTCAGAAACTTGAGAAGACGCCTGAGCAATCTGGTATTAACTTGAATTAACTTTTCCTAAGTGCAGTGAGACTGAAACCTCCAGGTTAACCTGAAGTCTCTTGACATTGGTTATCTTGGTTATCTAGCTTTTAAAATACTTTTGTTTCCAAGAATATCTTCTGAAATAATTTCAAGCAGTAAGCAAGCAGAAATTGTAACTCTCAAGACGTGTTTTTTCCTTAATATATCTTTATTGATTTCAGAGAGAGAGAGAGAGAGAGAGA